GTCGAGGCTGCAGTGGCCGCTCCCGGCCACTGCACTCCCTTCTGGGTGACAGAGTGAGACACCAACTCAAAAAAAAAAAAAAAAAGAATCAGTCGTACACCTACATGACTAATATCTGTAACTGAAGCTTTCCTCAGAGGAAAGGCAGGTAGTGCTCACCATAAATCGCACGGTTAGTATAAACTACCTGCACAAACCGGTATGGCACTGCTCAAAACCATTCAGAACAAAGCATTCCAAAAGCTCAATTCTCCAGAGTCAGTCAATGCTCTGAAACCAAACCTTTCTTAGGAAGATGCAAGATTTAAGCAACCCAAGCCTGTTGAGGTAACCATTCCCTAAACAGTGCCATAACAAATAAACAACTTGAATTCATAATTTTAAATCTTCCCATTAAAAAACAAAACAAAACCTCTAGGCCCAGAAAGCTTCACAGCAAGGAAGATATTCTATCAGGAAGAAATAAAACTAATCCTATACAGACTCTTTCAAACAACAGAGGAGAAACACCTCCCAACTCATTTTACGAAGCCAGATTACCCTGATAACAAAACCAAAGCCACCAAGAGGGGAAAAAAAGCATTCAATAATATGGATGCATAAATCTTTAACAATAGTTAGCAAATAGATTCTAATGACATATAAAGAGAATAACATATCACAGCCAAGAGGGATTTATCCCAGGAATAGGAAGGCTTAATAACTGAAAATCAATCCGAGTAATTTGCCATATGAATAGAGAAAAATCATGATAATCTCAAAAATGACAGAAAATGCACTTGATAAAATTCAACACTATTCATGATTTTCTAAAACCTTAGCAAACTAGAATAAACTTCAACATGATTACAGACATCTGCAAAACTTCTACAGCAAATATCTTATTCAATGGTAAAAGGCTTAATACTTTCAACAAGGCCAGGATGACCACTCTCACAACTCTTCTTCAATACTGTAATAATATAGGTTGTCAGTCTGATCTGACAAGAAAAATAATAAGACATACAGACTAAAAAAAGAGTGACGTTATATTTGCATATGTTATGATTATTCATGAAACAAAGCCTAAGACATCTACAAAAAAGCAGTCAGAACTAGTAAGTGAATTTAGTGAGGATACAAGATTGCTATGCAAACATCAGTTACAATTCTATATGCTAACAATGACCAACCAGAAAATGAAATTATAAAGACAACTCCACTTAAAATAGCATCAGAAACTACTAAACTATAGGCTTTATATGTGTAAAATGTGTACATCAAAAACATTAAACAATATACATATAAAAGACTACAAAGGAAAATTACAGACCACACTCATGGATTGGAAAACTTAGTATAGTGAAAACAGTGATTACTACACCTCATCTACTCCTGTGCAAAGCCTCACTTGATCTTCACAAGACTATCACCTAAAACTACTCTGCCCCTAGTATCTCCAGCTCTCAAAGTATTCTGTCACTTTCCATCCCCTTAGCTCTATCTCCCACTACCACCAATTGTGCGTTTTTCCTCTTCTCCATCTATAATCCGTTGATCCCAACCAATTCCCCAATTTGTCAAGACCATTCTGCAACTTACTCAACCTCTCCCTAGCATTCCACTAGTTTCTGTAACAGACACCAGCATGACTTCCTTCACTGACTCACATCCCTCTGGTACCATTAACAGGTGACTGTGAAGGCTCTCTTTTTATCTTGCCTCTACCTTCTCTTACAAGGATCACATCACTTCCATAGCTTCAACTCTGCAAATAGCTCTCAAACCTAAATTTCCAGCTTCAACTTCTAAGCTATACATCAAGCACCAATTTCCAACTGACAACAGGATAGTTCTAGCTGGATACTCTATCTTTCAAAATCCTGTTACCTATCAATGAAGATGCAGAAAAAAAAGGATACAGCTGTAAATATACATATAGGAAATAAAAAATGTGTAGACTCTGGGTATTTTTAAATGTATAATTATAATAGTATCTACTTCATATGATGAGAATTAAATTAGTTAATTCATGTGTAGTACTTAGAACAATGCCTGGATATAATAAACACGATATGTGTTAAAATATTTAACCATGCATATATGAATATACTGTCCTTAACACATAACACATACATAGTATACTTTTGTATTATACATTTTATTTATTTCATTTGGGGTTGGACATCCCAACATATACAAGAAAGGCACAAATTTACATGAGTCATAAATAACAATGTTAGTCAATGCTGATATAGGTATTGTGGTATTGGCAAGGCATTGACCACAGAGACATTTTAGGCTCTTGTGGAAACACTGCTATAGTAAACTCACTCTGTCAATGCCAAACTAATTCCATTTCCAATTTTAATAAATGGCAGGCTCAAGGAAATCTTCAACCAACCACACTCAATCCCAAGGAGGAGGACCAAATTGTTCAGTTGTCCTGATCAAGCACACGTCCTTGGAGAAAGCTTAATTAAGCTGGAGGAACAAAAATTAGATCTGTACCAAAAGATCCTGTTTTCTTTCTTTTCCTCTAACTAGTTTTGCTAGCAAGGGTGCTCTGATTAATACCATCATACAAAATACGTAAACAACTTAACTAGCAAAAGATTACCACATAATGTATGAAAAATACAATCAAAACGACAAAACTAGCATCCCCTCTGAAATCATACACCCATCCTCCTGGCACTCTGTCTCTCTGTCTGTCTCTCTCTCTCTCTCTCTCTCTCTCTCTAAAGCTGTCACTATAACCATGGTATCAGGGCTAAGAATGTTCCTGATACTTGTTCATTTGTTTTGTCATCTGTCAACAAAATGGCAACAAAAAAAAAATTAATAGTAGCAGTAACACATTTTAAATTTTATAAAGTTTTAAATTGAGAAAAGTATATCAATTAACCAATACAATACAATAAAACAAAGATAGGGTGCAGGAAAGAATACAACCTTAGTGCTATAGTACACTGTAACAGCCCAACTTACAGAAAACAGTATTTGACTAAGACATGTTCACTCATGAGTAGTATGAGAAACTTGGGAAATATTCCTATACTCAGTGATCTATCACAGAAACAAAGAGCAGAGTACCATATGTTCTCACTCATAAGTGGATCTTGAACAATTATAATACTGTAAGAAAGCATTTGGCAGTAATGGGAAACTGTGAGGGGGGTGAGATTGGCAGTTGAGGGAAACTGCAAGGGGAGGGAGGGGTATAACCTCATCAACAAGGGTACCTGCATAATCAACATTTATATACCTAACCCTGAATTGTACCCCACATCTTTATAATAAAATAATAATAACCAAAAAAAAAAAAGCCTCAAATCATCAAGTTCTGGATACACTGAACAGGCCTGTTTCCCTGGACATACGCTATCTTAAAATTAAGTCCCTAAAACAAAATTTGAACTGGCCTGTAGGCACAGGTGAAAACTGAACAAGTTATCATCATTCACCCAGATGAATCAATTCAACTTTGCTTTTCACTTTCTTCACCAAAAATTCAAAGCTATGATTATGTCTACTTTGCCTTCTATCTTACCTATATTTAAAATTATGGACTTTTTTATTGTAATAAAAGTCCAGTGATACTTAAAAATATTATGCTTCATTTCAAAGTAACTGAAAAGTATATAAACCCATTACATCAAAAGGAATCTTGAAAATTATGAATCAAAACAGTACCTCAATATTTTTACTGGCCACATTCTTCACAACAGCAGGAAACAGTTCAGATGCATTTTTTCCCTTTGCAATCATCTGGAGAATAAAAGTGAAGCATAAGGGCAGAAAGTTATTTTAAATGAATAATTTGAAAACAAAATAGATATTCTGGAAAATTCTATATACGTTAAATATTTAGAAGATTGTGTCAACAAATAAGCTATGTAGTTAACAGCTGACTCTTTGAGTCATTTTACCCCAACTACTGCATTTAAAACACTCTTATGTATCAATATTAATACACAAATACATAGACACATTAAAGAAGAAAACTATAGTAATCTAAGGCATATTAAAACACATATAACAATATCCTCTGGCTAACTGAGTTGCAAATACTTTTTAAATTAAATATTTATGTTGCTTTTTAGTTTCAAAGATTTTACATTAAAGATGTACTACATTTGCAATGGCAGGGGAGAGATAAATGTTGAGATAAATTCTCTGTTCTTTGGCTTTCTTTTCACAGAGTCCCCCTACTTCTACAACCATTACTTTTTAAAGTTCTCTTCACTAAACCCTCTTCCTCTGCCCAGTAAAGTTCTGTGTACCACTATCTTTTCAGGCTAACTGTTCTACAATCTCTGCAACTCCTTAGATTTCATTCACCCTCATAACTTTCACCTCATGGAAGAGGATAAATTCTCCCAAACTGTAGCCCAAATTCCACATCTCTAATTAGGCAGCATCAGATGTCTTTCTCTTCCCAAACATGCTATGCCTAAAGCCAAACTCATCCTTCATGATAAAATTACACTCATGCTAGAATGACCGATTCCTACCAACTCTCTCAATACCAGAAACCGCAGGATTATCTTGGCCTCTTCTCACACATCTACACAATTACTAGGTTTTGTTGTTTCTTCTTAGCCCATTCATGTTCATCTCTTCTACTGCTACTATTCTGGCATAGGTCAACATCACCTCACAGAGAACTTTTCCAACAGTCTCCTCCTCCCATCCATAAAGCATGTCACTGACATTGTAAGATGCTTAAAACACTACTCTGCACATGTCAGCCCCCTAAAAGCTTCTGACTGCCTAGAGTCCAAACTATTTCACTTAATACTCAAATGCCCTCACAATGTGCACTAACATCCCCTTCTTATGCTCCCTGACTCCACATCAGTGCTATAATCCAAGTAAACTGATCTTACTCACTATTAGAACAGTCTCCTCTATACCTTTACTCATTATCATGGCCCCAACTTTCTAAGTTCTACCCTTCTATCCAAGGTATCATCAAATTCTACTTATTTTCCCTTGCTAGAGCCATTGCCTAACACCTAGACCACTGTGGCATCCTATCCCAATATCCTCTAAAATTTCTAATCTATACTTATCACTTGGAACTTCCTGTATGCTGTCTTATATTTTATTTATTTTAGTTTTATATGTGGCTGTTTTCACATTTCCTTCTCTCTCATTCTCAGAATATATCTTTATGTCTTTTAATAGTCCAGACTGGTAACCACAAAATAAAGTTCAAACTACAGGATAATTTTTGAGGAAGGAATTCTTTATGAATTACACATTATATTTAACAAACTATTTTAAAAGGTATTAGCTATATTAATTTATCACAATGCTATCTAAATGCTATATAACTATAATCTCAGAAAGCAATTCCTTCTTTAATTTCTCCCACATGGTAGCTTTAAAATACTCAAATACAAGCTAGTCTTTTTATATCTTATGTCCTTACCTGCAATATTCTCTTAAGTATCTTGTGAACCCTGCTGAGCATTACTAAAGGATAACAAAATACTGTAGCTAAAAATCTTTATATGATTTTATACCTTTCTCAATTTCCTCATCAGTGAAACAAGAAGACAGAGGGATTAAATGCTATAATCAAATTTATTCAACTAATATTTGCTGAAAGGATACTCTATACCAGGGAATATTGCAGGTCCTGAGGATACAGCCACAAATGATATAGTCTTTGCTCATGTGGTACTTACCTTCTAGTGGGGCAAGGGTCAATAAACAAATGAATATAGTGTGTGAGGAGGTAACAGAGTACTATCGAGAAAAATAAATCATAGCAAGGGAAATAGAAAGTGCTGTGGTGGGATGAAAGTTGCTCTTTTACATAAAGTGGTCAGAAAAGACCATCCTTTCGCAGGATCCTGAGGGAAAGAGAAAGGGAATCATGTGACTAGTTAGGGAAACAACAGTTAGGGAATGATATGTTCCAGAACAGGAGGCCATAGTGACCAGACCGGACTAAGTGAGAAGAATGGTAGGGGATAAGGTCAAAGTTGTATAAACCACTGTAAAAGGAGTTGGTTTTGACTCTGAGTGAAATGAAGACCACTGGAAAGTTTTGAACAGATCTAATAAACATCAGGAGATTCATATTTTTAAAGGATTATCTCTGGCTACACTCTGAGAAATAGACCAGTAGATATGGAAGCATGGAAAACAGGAATTATTCAGGTGTAAAAATGGTGAAAGACAGCGGAAGAGGCTGGATCGTGGATTTATTCTGGAGCTAGACTACACACAGGATAAGAGGAAAAAGACAGGTATAAGAAGGGCTACAAATGAGTAACTGGAGAAATGAAATCGCCATCTACTATGAAGAGAAAGTCTGAGTAAGAAGCAGGGATCTTTGGGGGATGAGTGATCAAGAGTTTGGTTTTGGGTACGTTGAGAGGATAGCTGAACATATGAGAATGGAGGCTACAGGAGAATACAGGAGAGAGTTCTGGCTGACAATATGCATTTGGAAAGGGATGAGATCATTAAGGCAAGACATGTATAGATAGACAAGTGGACAGAGAGATAAGACATGTGTATACTCCTAAAAGTAGAAATTGTGGAGAAAAGAAACCTGCAAGGAAGCTCTGAGACTCCCCAAAGACCAGTTTGAAATGAAGCAGTCCTTCCAAGTGCTCCTCCTTATCCTAACATAATTCTTCCACCTTTTCTCTATTCCACTTTAGGAAAAACCCTGTTCTGGGTCCTCTTATACTTCTTTCTCTAAAAGGGAGCACAGGCACTGAGGAGAGTCACATTTGGGCTCTGTGGGCAAAATAAGGTTTATAGGTGGAAAGCATAGAGAAATATTTATTTTTCATTTTTATTTGGTTGAGTTCCTGACGTTTGAAAAAGCTGCAGTACCAGTGACTCTGCCCCTTGAAGATGACTCTTTAGACAAAGGTGAGAAGGGAAAACAGGTTCTCAGCCAAAAGATGACAGTCATGTTTAGCTAACTGGGCAGAGGCTGAGGAGGGCCCAAGGTCATTTTTAGCTCTAAACTCTCCCAGGTTTTACTCATACCCTCACCTACACGTTAGATGCCTTCTACCCAAGGTAGAGATGGAATTCCAGAGTCCTCCCAAAAGAATATTCACTAATGGCCCACACATAATTGAAGGAGGGACTAATTTCTGATATCTGCTCTCTAGCTCATACATACAACTTTTGATTTTCGTTCTTTGACCTTTGGTGGCCTCAGACTCAACATCAATGTTCTACCTACCACAGGTTTAGCCCAATAGCCCTTTATTTTGGAAGATTTGGTTGGTTTACTCTTTCTCCAATCTTCTATGTTCACGAGGGAAATGAATGTAGTTTAATTTTCTTACAATATCTTTGTCTAATTTTCATACCAGGATAATACTGAACTCAATTGAATTCAGAAATGCTTTCCCACATTCTATATTCTGGAAGCATTTTTGCAGAATTGGAATCTTCTGTGTTGAAAGCTTTTTAATGAGAAAATCAATTACTTTATTAGATATAAGACTATCAGGTAATCTAGTTCTTAAGTAAACTTTGTGGCTTGTCTTTGCCCATTTCAACGAAGTTGTCAAATTTATAGGCAAAAACATGCCTGAAATATTCCCAAATTATCCTCTAAATGTCATGGGGCCTGTAGTGGTATCCCCACTTGCATTCCTGATATTGATCATTTGTCCTATTGTTTTGTTTGTTTTCTTGGTCACTCTAAGTTCTTCAATTTTATCAATCTTTTCCAAGAACTTTGTCACTAATTTCACTGATTTTATTTTTATTTATTTTTTATAGATGGCATCTTGCTCTGTTGTCCAGGTTGGAATGCAGTGGTGCAATCATAGCTCACTGCAGGCTCTAAGCTCAAAGGATCCTCCTGCCTCAGCCTCCAGAGAAGTTAGGACTACAGGCATACATCATACCTGGCTATTTTTTGTTTGTTTGTTTTTTGGTAGGGATACGAGGTCTCACTATGTAGCCCAGGTTGGTTTCAAACTCCTGGCCTCAAGCATTCCTCCTGTTGTGGCCTCCCAAAGTGATAAGATTATAGGTGTGAGCCCCCATGTTTGGCCTCACTAACTTTATTCTATTGTTTTTCTCTATTTAATTTCATTGATTCTTACTCTACCTTTATTATTCCTTTCCTTAGTTTCATTTTGGTTTAATCTGCTCTCCTATTTCTAATATGTTAAGGAGGATGTTCCGTTGTTAGAAAAATTGATTGGAAATTTTTCTTTTCCAATAGAACCCTTTATTACTATAAATTTCCTTCTAAGTACTACTTTACCTAAATCCTCCAAATTTTGATATATGGTTTTTCATTTTCATTCTAATTTCCTTGTGGCTTTTATTTTGACTCATAGATTATTTAAAAGTTTGATGTAAAATGTTCAAATATTTTAAAAATTTCTTGATCTCTTCCAATGGTTGATTTTAGTTTAATTTTATTATGATCAGATAACACAGTTTGTAAAATTTCAATACCTTTACATTTGTTAAGATTGGTCTTATGACACAGATATATTGCATCTTACATTTAAAAAGAATGTATACTGTGCCATTATTAGACAGAATGCTCTATACATGTCAATTAGGTCAAGTAAGTTGGTAGTATTATGCATTCTTCAATATGCTTATTGACTTTCTATCTCCCTATATTTAAGTGCTGAAGTCCCCAACTATAATTGTGAATGTGTCTATCTTTTCTTTCAGTTCTAACATTTACTTCATTTTTTAGGTACTGTTGTTAAACAAATTTAAGATTATTGTCTTTCAGGGGAAACTTTTTTAAT